AATATGAATCTGTTTTTATTTTTATAAAAAAACTGTATTTTGACCGGGGACGCGTAGTTTAGTCAAAAAATGAAGAAAAAATGTTATTTTTCAAAAGCCCACTAAGTTATAAAATATTTTTAAATACAATATTTACATATTCTGAATAATTTTAATGAGCCTAATATGAATCTGCGACCGGGGACGCGTAGTGTTTTTGAAAAAAAAAGTGTTTTATCAAAAAATCACTAAGTTATTAAATACTTTAATATATAATATTTACATATTCTGTATATGAGCTAAATATGAATCTATTTTGATTTTTTAAAAAAAACTGTATTTTGACCAGGGACGCGTAGTTTAGCCAAAAAAAATTTTTTTAAAATTTATTTTTATTAATACCATTTTCTGAATCTCCTTGAAAAGCTAAACATGAATCTGCTTTTATTTTAAAAAAAAACGGTTTTTTGACCGGGGACGCGTAATGTTTTTGAAAAAAAAGTGTTTTTTTAAAAAATCACTAAGTTATAAAATAGTTTAAAATATAATATTTACATATTCTGTATTCTTTTAATGAGTTAAATATGAATCTGTTTTTATTTTTTAAAAAAAACTGTATTTTGACCGGGGACGCGTAGTTTATTTTTTAAAAAAACAAATTTTTATAAATTTTATTTAGTTACCGTATTTTTTTTAAATTAAAAAAAACATTTTCTAACTCATATTATAAAGCTTAATAAGATTTCCTATTAATAATAATAAAAATAAGTCGTTTTGACCGGGGACGCGTAGTTTTCGGGGACGCGTATTTTAGTCATTCCCTAGACATAATTTTTATTTGAATATTATAGTATTTTATAAATTTTAATATATAAATTGTTTAAAATTATAAATATACACATATATCTTTTATAAATTATAACTTACTGATAACAAAAATAATTAATATCTAAAATGGTTTATTACTTTTATTTCAAGTTGTATATTAGATAATTTTTAGGTTATCTGTGACAGTTGAAATTATATCAAATATATGGCAGCCATTTTTGTGAATTTTTTTCTGGACATTATTGTGAATATTCACATTTTTTGCTATATTGATACTCGCTATTTGGGTCTCTTTCCATTAAACCAGAGATGGACTGATATTACTTTTTTTGCCAATACCATTACAACTGATGCATTTTTTTTAAAAAATGGAGAAAGTAAGTAGGGCTATGCTAATATTAAAATGATATAGTTATAAATTTGTATATCTCAGAATTGCCACAATTTAGGCATTAAAATTTTAATGGATAACCTTATTGGTATGTTAATAAAACTTTAAAACAATTTATCAAACAATATTTTATGAAGAATCAGCATCGGCATATGAAATGAGCCTATACCTACAAAAATATGAATATTCGATTCGAAATGGAATTATTTGTATTCGTTTAAATCGAATAATTTATTATTCGTATTCGTATGAATAATAAAATGATTATTCAATTCATCGAATATTCGATTCGATTCTAAAATTTTATTTACCATGAATTAAAAAAGATCTATTATAAAATTTATTTTGTAAAATTTAACTTAGGATAAAGACAAACAAATTTTATTAGTGAGACAAAATAGAAGCATACATATATAATAAATTTATATACAATGTGGAAAAATCAATATAATATTCATATCTATAATGTAGAAGATAAATCTGACAACAGCCAATTTTTCAAACATAAAGTTTTTCGGATTGTTTCCTCCTTTAACGACATTCTGTATTTTGTAACATGAGCTCCAACAGAAAAGAGTCGCTCACATGGAGTTGAAGATCCCTGTATCGACAATATGTCCCTCACCATTTTAGATAACACGGGAAAACGGTCTCCATGTAGTTTACACCATTCTAGTGGGTTTTTATTTGACGTTATTCTCACTTCTTTCAAATATGTGTCAATTTCAGAAATTGGCATAACATTCTGTTTAAAAATGACATCCATATTTGATTGTATTAAAGGTTTACTTTTTGATACATCATATTTAATTTTATATACATCAAACATTTTCTCAAAATTATTAAATATAGTTGTAACGTTTATAATATAAGATATAGGTAGGCACTCAAAAAATTCCAGTTTAAGTCTTGGATCTAATATTGCAGATATAATTGTTTGGAAATCTGTTAAATTATAATATGATACTATTTTTTGTTGCGCATTAATTGCATTTATAAGCGTATTATCAAAGAGACTTAGGTGCTCAATTAATGATATATAAAAGGGGATGACCAGATTAAGTGTAGGATATGTTTATCCTGATATGGCACCAGTAAAATCATAAAATGTATTCTTTCTAAGGCGGTCCATTCATCTTATATTAAAAAATAAAAATTAGATTTAAATATAAATAAATACTTCACTAAGTTGTTTCTCTTGAATAATAGATATATCATAGATCTATAGCTTTTCTCATTTGTATTGCTCGTTCTATCATAGAATATGAGCTGTTCCATCTGATAGGTATATCTAATTTTAACTTCAAATATGTAATAGATGGAATTTGTGAATTACAAAATCGAATGCTTTTTATAGTGCCTCTTAATTTTATTAATTGCTCATCAATTTGTTTTATTATTTCTTGAACAACAAGATTTAAAACATGTGCAATACAGCGAATATGTGCAATTTTTGATCTTGGATTTTTAATTTTAAGGGTATTTATAAAGGTAGTGTTTGATGCGGCATTGTTGCATGTAATAGCCGTTGTGTTTATATGCTATAATTGTTAATGATTCTATAAAATGTCTTATATATGTTTTCCCCAGACTGGGAATTTGTAAAAGGAACAATGTCTAATAATATAGATTTTAGTACCCATTCATCATCAATGTAATGGCAGGTTAATCCCAAGAATGGGACATTTGTTGGACTTGACCAAATATCTATTGTAAAATTTATTTGTGTATTAGATTTGTTTATTATCAATTTAATTTTTTGGAATTCATTGTCAAAAGATTCATTAATGTATTGTTTTAATGTAGGAATTGAACATATTTTAATGCTAGGATTTAATGCTTTTAGATTTGATCAAAAATTTTAATAAATGGTGTTTGATATCATTATTGTTGTGCATATGATTTTTATTTATATCATTATCAAAATATGATTCAATAAATTTATTATTATAAGTTTTTTGATGGAATCGTTTGTAATGATTAATCAAAGCTGAAGTAGTTTTTTTTTACACTTAATTTCAACCTGACAAATCTTATATCTTGCAGTTTCTGTTGATGCTTGGTAAATATAATGTTTCCAAATATCTGCATTTTTTGGTCCTCCCGAGCCTGACTAGAATTTGGGGTGAATGATGAAGATTGGCTTTGTTCTCCAATGCTTTCTGATTCAGAATAATAGATTGAATATCTATTTAATAAATTAAATATTATTATAATATTTATAGCATAGCCAGCCAACCCAATATGGCAATCAATAACTTAGTCAGTAATATATATATGTCAAAATCATCAGATCCTATAATCATCATATCAGAATTTTCTTATAAAATATTTTTTACAAACTGCTCATACAATTGATAAATTATCCAAAAATGTAGATGAGATGATAGCTTATATAAAATTTATCACAAAATTATAATATATATTTTAGTGAATTTGGATATAAATGAAAAATAAAGTTTAAAAATACTATTACATGTACTTATATTAAATTTTATATAGATTTACTTATAAAATATTTTTTACAAAAATGATTTGGATTTATAGGTTTTAATTCCAAACACTGTTCATAAAATTTAATTATATTGGGAAAAGAATCAAGAATATAATTTTATAAAGATAATATAAATTTTTGTGAATTTTGATTCATAGTAGAATAATGAAAGTTTAGAATATTTGATTTGGGCAATAAGAAATTCCTACTGAGATTCAATGATGATCTTTAATCCCAAACACTACTTTGTTGTTATTAACATAAACTAAAATAATATATAAGTCAAAGTAATATTCTTTTTAATGTAGGGAAATAATAAATTGTCAAAAAGCTATGTAACTTAAATAAGTACGAAAAACTCACATTAGCAATATTTTACAAATAAAGTGGTAAAAACTTTAGGCAAAAAGTCAAATTTATGATTTCTCCATCATCAAATGAAAGAGAAATATCAGGTTTGCCCGTTATTCTTGATGTGATGGGATTAACAGTTTATTATAATTGTATATGTTATGTGTTATATAAATTACCTTCTTCGTCCATCTCTATCATAAAAGAAATTTCTAAAGTATGGTCTATTATGAGATAAATTAAAATGGAGTTTCAAAATTTGGCGCAATTTTCATTATTCCACTAAAAGATTTTATTAAATTGAAATAATTCCTAATAATAATATATTATTTATATATGATTTTTTTGCAATATATATTAATACTATAAATTATTTTAGTCGAATAATTCGATCGAATAATAGATAAAAAATTATTCGACGAATAATATATTTTCCTTATTCGATTCGAATATCGAATAACAAATAATTCGTTTTAGGTATAAATGAGCCTATGATTATAGCAATCTTTTGCTGATCCAAATTAAAGCAATTATGTATATTTCAAGATATTTATGCTTATAAAATTAATTGCCAATCTGGTGCAAATATTAGTTACACAAATTTATAACCAAGACATTTCAATATTGACAAAATTAGCACAGCTCTAATTATAACATTTTTATTCATCATTTTCACAACAATATATTTTATCAAGAAAAATGCCCTTCAATTTTAATGAGTATTTAACATAATTTTAAAAGTGAGAAGAAATAGGAAGGATTTAATACTTTATTATTATTATTGGTTTATATGTTAAGTTTAATAATGGAGCCAAATATTTTGAGTTTCATTCTTTTTAAAAATGGTCATCCGAAAATTGAGTTATTTTAGTTGATATGACATTAATTAGATAAGTTATATATTGTAAACTTATTTTGTATTTAATATAGTTATCATAATTTTTTCCTCATTTATAGTAAAGAAATCCTATCCATACCCCAAGCAATCTCCTCATCAAACTCTGAATCTAGCGATTCAAGCTTATCCACAGCATCCCTTTCCTCGAAGGAATTGAAGAAACGTAAACATAAACACAAAAAACATTCCAAACATCACAAATCAGAAATTGAGTGAGAATATTAAATTAAATAATAGATACAATTTTTTGCCATTAGGAAAAAAAGAATGAAATATATTACTTTTTTTGCTTCCAATCATGAATATTTTTTTTATATCCCATACTTTTATAATCCCAAAATCTTAAATAATAGTATGATTAGTGGGCTGTAAATTATTAGTTTATTTAATCTCAGTTTCAAATGTGCTTTTATTAGCCTTCTGAATTGAATCCTGTGCTGTCTACAAATTCCACTTTTTGTTGGATACATTTAAAATTCTTAATTTAAATATAATTATTCAAATAGTTCAGTTTTTTTAAAAAAATTTCATTAGCGAACAAACTAAATTAATAATCTTGTAATGCATATTATTATATTTATCAAAATAATGAAAATTGCTAAATTGTTAGCATTTTATATTAGTTGTTATTTTAATAAATCACAATATCCAGTATTATAAATCTTTATGTTGATAAGTTTATTATGTAATAAAAGAAGATATTTTGGACTTTATTTTAAAATCATACATATATTAGGTTATTTTTTAAATTTATCTAACTAGTTAGATTAGAATTGATAAAAATTATCTTCATCCTTAATACTTTTGCTTAGCTTTTTTATGTATTGCTATGCTATTTAAATTATAATTATTAATGCTGTCTCGATATATTTTTATATTTGACATAATTGTGATTTGTTTATTTATTATCTTGTGAATAAGTAAATATCGAAGTTAACCTAAAATAAAAGAGAGAAGCTCTAGACAAGCTCTTATTGAATTGTAATATCTTTTGGCTCTAAATCAATACCATTTGCTTTATCTGACATTGGATCTTTAATTTTATATAATTATATTTGATTAGCCCAATATTAGGTATTTAGATTTGTATTTCAATTCAATATTAAGTTTGCCCTGAATAATCATTAACACAAATCACTTGTTGTTTCCTTCCAATTCTGTTTTGACACAGTAGTATTGTTAAATCACCCAATTGCAATACAGCTTAGCTAAGTTTCATCCTAAAAAATGTCTTAATCTCAAGTTGATGCTCAACTAAAAGTCAATTTTTTTTGGCTGTTGGCCAAAGTTTGTTGATTTATCAACATTATATCAAAGCTCGAATTAATCTTAACATGTGGCTTATGAAAATAGTCCTTTTAGTTTCTAGGATCACGCTTTTCTTGACTGTTTTAAAAAGCAATTATGAAGGTTGTTTGCAGAAGGGTGGCCACTTAAAAAATCCTTAAAATAGCAGGAGTTAAGCGAAATTAAAATTTAAAACCAGAAGAAGTGGGGACTAATTAAAATAATAATTAACAGTTTTCTTTAAGATAGGTATATTCAAAAACGAATGTGAATCAAATAATTATTAATATTCCTAATCGAATATCTTACTATACTATTTCATATTCATATGAAAAATAAAATTTACTCTTATTCGATTGGTAAAATTACAAATAAACTATTCGATTTGTATTCTTTCAAGCCTGTAATACAGATGATTTATTTTTTTTTGGAGTATTAAAAGTTTAATATATTTTAAAGTCGAATTTAAATATAAATTGTTTAAAATCATATGAATACATCTCCATCTTTTTTTCATATCAAGTAACAATATTATAATAGATATTTTTAATTAAACATTTTCATTTTTTTTTCAATTTAAAAATATTAGTTTTTAAAATTGAAAAACTTAGAGAAGAATTAATTTCAGAAATCAATGAAAAGTATAAAAAATATTTATTTTAAAAGATTTTATTGTTGATAGTTTTGAACAGGTGATTTTTAAAAGGCTAATTAAGGTAAGAGGGATTAAGATATTACTAAAAAAAATTAACTTAAATTCTGCCTAATTCCTATATCCTCGTTACTCCTCACTTAGGCTATAAAAATATATAAATTTTTATTAGCATCACATTATTTAAATATTTTAAAAAGTTGTAACAGCTTATCGTTAAGCCCTCACGTCACGGGTTATTATGAAATATGTTATTTATTTTCCATTTTAGAATTAATTTTAACAATTAACTTAATTATAATTTTAAAAATATATATATCTTGCCAAAGAAGCGATAAAAGGTAGCCATAAAATATTTATAAAAAGATAACTAGAAGTCATCTTGTTATATTTTTAATATTTTTTTCTTAAAAAGGGACCAAACAAAAATAAATTCCCGTCAACTCAAACAAGTTGAAAAATCGAAGGATCAGGACAAGAAGAAACACGAAGCCCGAGCTGAAGATTTTTTCGGTGTTCCGCCTGAAACGAATACAAAAAATCGTAGAGATGAAAAATACGAGAAAAGTAATATCGAGGACACACATTATTTGGATAATAAAAAGGTAAGAAGTGAGATTAGAAAAATACCAAACGCATCGGGATTACAAGATCATGATATTTTTGGGCATAAAAATGACGCAACTGGGGATGGAGACGCGAATAGACCCAGCCTTAACACTCGTAGAAAAGACGTTAACTCTAGAGATGAAAGGATGAATGAATCAAGTAATTTGTCTGCTTAAATACATACTAGTGCTCAAAAAACATTCTAAGATCTTAAATTTAATGTTCAACTGGCGAATATAATTTTTTAAACTTCTATTTAATAATTTGTGAAATATTATTTGAATTAGAGATCTGCAAAGTTAGGCCCAGCCCGAATGGGCTTCGGGCCGGGTCGGGTCGGACCTTGGAAATTTTATTAAATATATCTAAATTTATCAATTTTATATTGAATTTTTTATGTAAAATAAAAATTTTTGATTTAATTTATTGAAACTAAACTCTATATAACATATGTCTTTTATTTTAAGTAATTATAAAAATAAATTTCTATATTTAAATAAATTCGGGCCTGGCCGGGCCGGTAAATTTATTAATAAATTTCGGGTTCGGGTCGGGCCGGCAAAACTTTTTAAAATAATTTCGAACCAAGCCGGTAAAACTTTTTAAAAAAAATTTCGGGCCGAGCTGGGATTAAAAAATTAGGCCCGATGCAGATCACTAATTTGAATATCAATTATGGTAAATTAAAATAAAGTTAAAAGGTATATTGAATTAAATGATCATATTATCGTATCGATCTAAAACTATTTGTCCGTTATTTTTAAATTCCGACCGATCAGTCACCTGCCATTATTTATATTGTGATATTGTATCATAATATTATATGCTAATGAATTTTGATAAAAATGATAGGCTCGAATTATTATAGATATGAATCGAAACCAATTTTTCTATTGATACTGGACCAATTATCATAAATATTTATTTACTCTTTATATGTAAAGTGTCCTCACATGTTTTTCTTAAATTTTTTCATCATATCCATAGAATATATTGGCAATTTTCTAAAAATTATGATATGCAAATATTGCTTATATTTAAATTTCGATGAAGGAATAAAACTTTATCTTTTTCTGCTCATATCTGACATTTTGAATTTAATTTATATAATTATTATAATGTGATTTTTTTTCAATTTAAAAATATAGAATTACCAATTAAATATAGAGATGAAAAGAAATATTGTAGCGATTCATCTAACAATGATACTAATAATAACCGACGAAATGAAAGTCGATTATTCGTCTCAAAATACGACGGAAAACAATGCGAAAAACGTCTGAATCATAGTAAAACTGTTCGAAAACACGAAAGGTCTCATTCTAATTCCAAACATCGATCAAATAGGGGTGGAAAATCGAATAACTCATCGAGTGACAGCTCTTCAGGTGATGATAATGTCAAAAACGAAAAAATGAATAGATCGAGAAACCAAATAATCAAACACGATAAAAAAGGGGATGGTAAAAAACGTACAAATAATAAGACCAAACGAAGGGAATCATCATCTGATAGTAGTTCTTAATAAAACCATCTTTAAAGTGGATGGAAACTGAACTAGACATAAAAATCAAACCGCTGCAGATTAAAAGATTAGTGAATAAAAATAATTAATTATTTATTGACTATGAATATATTTAATTATAATATTATAACTTAAATAATGTAAAGTTATTCCAAAAATGTAAATATAAATTACATTATATTTAACGAATCAAATTTATAACATGATTACTCATTTTAAGATTTATATTAGTCATAAACCAATAAAGAAAAATAAAAAGATATCTAGATGCCTCTTAAAAACTCCTTGGAACATGGTGATATTGTAATATTTTAAAAAATAATTTTACCTATTTTAAGAAACGTCGAATTATAATTAGATTTATATTATTTTTTAATTTTGTTTTTTGAGACTTTAATGTTAGATAATCTCAAAACTGTATAACATATTTTAGAAATTTTTTGAAATTACGCTTATTACCTGAAAAGTTTAACATAATTGAAAAAACACACTAAACTTATTTATATTATTTGATATTATTTATGAAAATGTATTATATTAAGTTATATAGTTTTACCTTATACTAATATAATAGTATATTGATAATCCAATTAAAATTTCCTTGGCGAAAATAATCATGGAAAAAAGGCCAAGATTCTAACGAAGCGAAGAATTTAATATGAAAAAATCATCTCAAAAATACCAATCTATATAAAATATCTCTGAAAATCTAAGTAAAGGAACAATAAATTTTCCTTTCTTCTAAAATTAAATAAATACTAGGTTCATTTTTTTCTCCATTGCAAGAATTGTAAATAAATTTACATTTTTAATAGTAAACATAACAGGAATGAATTATAAATATTTGAAGATTATACGAATTATAAAATTTGGTTAAGTGAGATGTGCCGATCTCTAATTGACATGACATCTCGGTTAACCTTGCAGTAATTAGCATATAACCTAAAATTAATGGTATAATATAAGATTTTTTCTTCTAATAAATATTATATCATATTTATCTTAGTCTTTTAACATATTAGGTTTATAAAAAAGCTTTAATTTAGATTTTTATACATTGTAGATGTGAGTACTGCAGATATTATAATTGGGATAATTAATATAAATAAAAAAATGGGGACTGGGCAAGATGAGAAGGTAATATACATTCCCAGGAAAATAGTTACAGAAAAAAAATTAACTTAAAAATAATTTCCCCTTATTTTTGATCCTATAAAATATTAAAATATTTTTAGAAAATTAACAAAATAGAAAGAAAAAAATCCCCAAATTAATATTAAAAATTTTTGAGGTTATATTTTTCCAAATAAAATTGTCAAACAAAATTATGAATAATAACTTGTGATTAATATTTAACCTAACCAAATTTTTATTAATTAACCCTAACCAATATAATGTATGATGTTATGGCCTTATCCCCCAGGTTTGGTAAAATTTAAAAAATCAATGTTTATAAAATAAACCAATTGGATACCTAGTTTCTGTGATATTAAGCAAAATATTATTAAGCTAAGTAATAATAAGGGCAGATTTTTTATTTTGGCTCGGATTTATACATTCATACCATTTTTGACCCGGATTAGCACTAATTTAATTAAATTCAAATTGCTTATAAGATTTCAGGTTTTAAATAATAAAACGAAGGTTAAATAAATCTAGTTTACTTTTACACATTTTCATCAACTTATATATTTATTGGAAATCATATTTTTATATAAATAAATATTTATTTTTATACAAATTATTAATCATTTCCATGAAGTTTTTAGAGATATATTAAAAATGAGGCTTCACACAATTGCCTTCAAAAATAGTTGGCCAATTTTTCAATTGGTATCATTTTGTTATGCAATATGTGAAGTCTTTTTCTGATAGAATATAAAATAATAATGTATTCTATGTCATAAATTTGATATTTGTCATTAATTGGCATAATAGCATGACTTTTACTAACCCTTAAATAAGGCCATTTTGTGTTTATGCTAATGATGGGCTATTAAAAGATATAATTATATATATAAATTCTGTGGCGAAATAGGAAATTTGCAATTAAACCTAGGCTCCTCTATTTGATAAAAATTATTTTATTCAAGTATTTAATGTTATTTCTTTCTAATCAACATAAAATTGCTAAATTATATTTTTTACTGCCCAATTTAAATAAATACAGCCAAAAGTAATGAAAAAAACTGACCATTTTAATCAAACTTAATTTTCATCTATTTTATAAAAATATAACAGGTTTTCTTTTTCTTTCCAAGATGTCACATATCTATACTTTTTATCTGTCGAAAATTATAAAGTTTCATAGCTATCAACCGATTTATCATTCTCATATTTTAAGATTTATATCGCTTAGAATTAAAACAGAAATAATGCTCAAAAAAATCCTCAAACATCAAGAATAACTCAACGTTCAGAAAATACTGAATATAATTTTTTAGAAATATTTTCCTTATTTTAACGGCGGTTATTTTTGATAATTTAAAATAAAATTACTCAAGGAATTTTTTTCCGGGATTTTATTTTCACCTATATTTTATTTAAAATCTAAAAATTGGGTAATTAATTTCCGGGGAAATTTTTCAAGGGAAAAATTTTCTCCGGGATTATTTTTTCCGGGTATTTATTTTCCTAGGATTTTTTTCCCGGGGAATAATTTTTCGAGGAATTATCTCACAGGGGATATTTTTTATTGGGATATTTTTCTGTGGAATTATTTTCCAGGGGATTTTTTTTCCGGTTTTATTCAGGGAATTATTTCCCGCTTACCAGATAAAAGATTCATCAGATTGTGAAAACCTGAGCATAAATATTCGCAATATTTTTTGTGGTAAACTCCAAAAAAATTGAATAGAAATTATTAATTTACAGTGTCTTGCCTTTCTACTGAAAGTATTGTCGTTTGCATTTTAAAGTAACTAAATGAGTTAAATATTAATTCAACGAATATAAGGGCCAAGAATATGATGGTGCAAACGTCATATCTGACCAAAATGTAGGAGTGCAAACCCAATTTCAGAAAAAAGTCCCTTTTATACATTGCTACAAAGTTGCATCTTGTGGTTCAAAATTGGTAAAATAATGTTATTATTTATAATTTTTTAATTTATCTAATTTATTGCATAATTTTTTTAGGAGTTTTAACGTATGCTTTAAATATATAGGTCATACTGTTAAGAGAGATTTAGACCAGAGGTGGAACGGTCTTTTAGAAACATCTCACAATGTTTACAAAATATATTTTTACCCATTTGTCTAAAGTTTAAAAATGACGATTATAAAAATTGTCACTTTCCTAAGGTACATCTTCAATGAAATTATAATTTAACATTTTTAAAAAATATATTTTCACCCATTTGCCTTAAAAAAATTCATAAAAGTTCAAAAATGACGATTATGACAATTGTCACTTTCCTATGGTACATCTTCACTGAAATTAAAATTTAACATGTTTACAAAATAAATTTTTACCCATTTGTCTAAAAAAAATTCAAAAAAGTTTAAAAATGACGATTATGACAATTGTCACTTTCCTAAGGTACAGCTTCAATGAAATTTTAATTTAACATGTTTACAAAATATATTTTTACCCATTTGCCTTAAAAAAAATTGAAAAAAGTTCGAAAATGACAATTATGACAATTGTCACTTTCCTATTGTACATCTTCAATGAAATTTTATTTTAACATGTTTGCTACCCATTTATATTTGTCTAAAAAAAATTGAAAAATGTTCAAAAATGACGATTAAGACAATTGTCACTTTCCTATGATACATCTTCACTGAAATTTTAATTTAACATGTTTACAAAATATATTTTCACACATTGGCCTTAAAAAAATAAACTTCAAGTCTAAGTCGAAAAAAATGACCCATATTTTGGGTCGAGGTCATTTTTTTCGGCTAGAACTCTGGTCGAGGTCGAAAAAAAATACAAAAAAATTGGGTCAGCTCTGTTCGAGCCGACTCGGCTAAGCCGATTAACAACACTATTCATAAACCGATAGTTTTTTTAAAAAAAACCAAGTTAGATTTAAAAAAATAGGTTAGATTACATAAACCGATAGTTTTTTTAAAAAAACCAAGTTAGTTTTAAAAAAATAGGTTAGATTACATAAACCGATAGTTTTTTTAAAAAAAAACCAAGTTAGTTTTAAAAAATAGGTTAGATTACATATACTGATAATTTTTTTTTAAATAAACCAAGTTAGTTTTAAAAAAATAGGTTAGATTACATATAACGATAGTTATTTATAAAAAACAATGTTAGAATGTACAAAAAATAAGTTAGATTACATAATTCAAAAGTTTTTAAAAAAAAACAAAGTTAAAAATAGGTTCGATTACATAAACCGAAAGTTTAAAAAAAAAACAAAGTTAAAAATAGGTTCGATTACATAAACCGAAAGTTTTTTTAAAAAAACAAAGTTAAGAATAGGTTCGATTATATAAACCGATAGTTTTTTTAAAAAAACCAAGTTAGTTTTAAAAAAATAGGTTAGATTACATATACCGATAGCGTTTTTTAAAAAAATAAAGTTATTTTTAAAAAAATAATGTTAGAATGTACAAAAAAATAGGTAAGATTACATAAACCGATAGTTTTTTTAAAAAAAACTAAGTTAGGAAAAATAGGTTAGATTTCATATACCGATTGTTTTTTAAAAAAACAAAGTTATTTTTAAAAAACAATGTTAGAATGTACAAAAAATAGGTTAGATTACATAATCCGAAAGTTTTTTTTAAAAAAACTAAGTTAGGTTCGATTACATAAACCGAAATTTTTTAAAATAAACAAAGTTAAAAATAGGTACCCCCATTTGGGGACAAGCTGCCTAATATTTTCTATTTACCCCATTTGGGAGCACCTAGCTTATAATATTCTTATTTACCCCCAAATGGGGGCACGCTAAAATTTATTTTCTATTTGCCCTTAAATGGGGGCGCGCAGCCTATGCCATTTTGATCCCGCGATATTTTAATTTTGAAATGCCAACTCCTAATACATTGTCATATTTTATTATACCTGTGTATGAAAAATACATAGGGAACCTTGAAAGGTTATTTTTCAGGAGGGTATTAACATATATATTGATTGCTTCTATTGTAATTTAGTTTCAGATGACACTATCATTAATGCAAGCTTATAAATTTTCTACTAATTTGAAGTTTGGATATATATAAAGCCATTAATTTAAATTTAGATTTGTACAAGCAAAATTAGCACTTGATGAAGATATAATTTCATTCCATTCTTCAGATTATATTGAAGTTTTGAAATCATGCTCAAAGTCAATTAGAGATTTCAAGTCAAGTGAGGAATTTCAGCTTAATGATTTATTTTTTGATGAATATGGATTATGTATGATATTTTTCTTATATCGATTTTTTAAACTTATTTTTAGCTTATGATTGTGTTTTATCACCTTCAACTTATTTATATAGTTTAAATGTTGCTGGGACAAGTTTGGCCTGTTCAAATATTGCAAATCTTTATACATATTCAAAGAAAAACCAAAATATTAATATACCATTACCCATTATTTTCAATTTTTTGGGAGGATGGCATCATGCTCAAAGGTACAAAATGATAATATTTTAAAATTAATTTTATATAAGATCATCTGCTTCTGGTTATTGTTATGTAAATGACATTGTAATTTGTATTAATGACTTGAAAAAAATTCACACTCAAATTTTATATATAGATTTAGATCTTCATCATTGTGATGGTAAGTTTTGAAATCCTTGGATTTAATACCTGACATTAAATTTTATAGTACATATATTTTTATTTAAACCAGTTTGAGATTTTTTTAAAAAAGATTTTGGTTTTTAGGTAAAATTTTATCATAAATCTTTAGTATGTGCACAGTTTGACATTAATAAACAGTATATTATTTGAAATGTGCCATAAAAATGTTTCAATTTGTACACTATTTAGAGATTATTATATCAAAAGGGTTTTATTATTTAAATGTAATGAAGTCAAATAGAGAGTGAATAATTCATTACTTTTTGAAAATGGTAGTAATTAATTTGTTTTTAGAAAAAGTAGCTTATAAACAAACATAATGATTTTTAATAATATTAATTAATGTTGAATAAAAAATTATGTTAGGAGTGGAGGAAGCATTTTCTGACTGTAACACAAATGGGACAATCTTAATAATATCCATTCATCATTTTTCTCCTGGATTCTTTCCTGGAACAGGACAATTACCACAACAAATAAACATGACAAATTCAAAAAATAAATTTAATATAAATATTCCACTTAAAGAAGGAATTTGTGATACAAATTATTTTGCATTGTTTAAAAGGTAATATTTCATGTTAAAACCTTTTATATAATTATTTTATGTGAGCCAATGGGAATTCATTAATAAGTATTATTATATACATATAAAAAAAATTAACTTAAACATAATATCTAAATGGTTAAATTCAGGGCTTCCTACCCAAATTCAAAGATATGAACCTGGTATAATTGGCATATTAACCCAAATTCCTTCAAATTTTATAAACCCAGAGATTAAAAAACAGTTTTAGTTGTAAGGCAATTTTGAAACCAGTATTTATGAAAAGGTTAAGATTATATTGCAATTCATGAATTAATAAGACCAACTTAATTTATTTTTAATTAAATAGCTTGTGATTTAAAAAAAATACATTCATTAATTTTATTCATATATATTTTATATAATGTGTGTTTTTTTTCTCAGAGTTATAGAAAGTATATATGATTTAAATGGTGATCAAAAGTCTTCAGCTAACCTTCCTGATGTTATAATTATTCAATGTGGAGCAGATGTTTTGGTAGGTGACCCTCATAAAGTTTTCAACTTAACTCCTACCAGTATCATCAATTGTGTTAATTTTATAAACACACACTTTTGCCAAAAATTAAATATTCCTTTGATAATTCTTGGAGGGGGTATATTTTTTAAAACTATAAACTTATTTTACATATATTTTGGTTTAATGTTTAGTGATATTATAATGGATAAATTATGATTTCTAACACCTTCTATTATGCCTAATAAATATTATATTCAGGTGGTTATAATTTTGCTGACACATCTAGATGTTGGGTTCAATTGGTTGCTTCTTTAAGTAATATGACCTTAGATAATGACATCCCAGAACACACTGTAATGCATATTATCATAAAATTATATATTATTTTAATCAAGTATTTCCCGTTGTATGGGCCAAGTTATGAACTATCCATTACCCCAGGATTAAAAAAGGATTCGAATGATCAAGCATATCTCAATTTTATTGTGAATAGCATAAAAGAACAAATTAAATAATAAAGATTCATTGCATTAATGATATGTGATGGAAGGAATAATATTCACATTTTTGCTATCTTTTATCAACTTAGAGGATTACTGTAAATATTTAAATAAAATCAAACCTAGGGGTGTTTAAAATCATCTGAGATGACCTAAATCACAAAGACAAACGTTATTATGGTTATTCAGCTCCCTAAGCCTATTATTTTAAAAAAATTGAGATTAAAGATAATATGAACAAATTATAAAGTGGCTTTAAATATTTTTTATAAATCATTTTGCAAATTTTAAATTTAAAAGCAAGGAGGGTTATCTCCTATTTTAACTCAGGATGCTGGTCGGAATGATGTTTAAAAGAATAATCGATATTGTTCTGTAAATCTTAAAAAAATATTCAAGGCTGCATTTTATTTAAAAAAACAGCCTTAATATTGCAAATAATTTAGAATTTATCATGCTCAATTGAAGGAAGATTTCTAAGATTCAGTTGAAAGATTTAATAAGACTCAGTGATTAATCAATAAGATATACGCCGGCCTCTTAGCCTGAAAAGTATAAATGTCATATTTCCTTTATTTATTCTACCATTTTTTTGCCTTGTTAATTATCAAAATTATGAAATATTTACAAAATAAGAAAAAAAATTTCCAAAAAAATCAGCATTTTTATATCTTATTAACGTTTTTTTTAAATTCTCATGTTCTATTTTAATATAGATTTATATGTAAATGATTAGTATATATTTTTTTAAATAAAAAATGAATTAATAAATGGATTAGAAACATTAAATTATAAAAATTATTTCGGATACAACATTTAAAATAGAGAATTAAATAAATGGCTTTTTTTAAATAAAATTCGGGTTACGAGACGGGCATAAATCTAATAAATATTTGCCACCATGCTGCAGGCGAACTCGGGTCGGAAAAAACGTTTTTGCATCTCAGGCATTAAATATTGAATCAAGTTCGCTTATAAAATCCTGATAATATCATTGTTATTTTTTTCGTAAATAGTTATTCTTGTTATATATGATAAACTATCAAAAAACGCCCTCAAAATAGTATGAAGATTTACCCCGGACGAAAATAAATTAAGTGGCCCTTAAAAAACTTAATTTATCTAAGTAAGAAAAGAAAATTCAAATTAGGGAAATAATAGGAAATAAAATCAATGCCATAATTTAACAGCCACTAAAATAGTCTAATTACTTCCTAGTTTGCCCTTGCAAACATTTTTCAATCCTTATTGATTGAAACATACCTTTATATCAATTGGGTGAGAAAGTAATGATAAAAAAGTTTAGCTTGACATATCAACATTAACCTATTGTGGGAAATAATAGAATTAAAAAAGGAGTAAAAAGTTATGTGTATATACGATACTCTTATAGCAAAGAAATGATAAAAGTCACATATATTTGTATTTTTAAGGACATGCCAAACTATTAGCTTTGCCCTTATATGACTCTCCTTTGAACTATTGATGCTTTATTTACTTTTTTTATATTTAGCCCTACTTATCTCAGCTATATGACAATATGTTTTTATTAACTGAAATATTATTTATGACTTGAATATAATATAAATTTTACGCAGTAAATGCATATAAATTTGGATAATAATAATAATTTGATGCATTGATTCGGCTAGTTGCACCTTTAATGGTAAAGATTTATAATAATAATCACATTCTTTGATGATTAATTTTTATCAATTTATTCAATAAAATATAAAATAATTGTCTATAAAAAAAGTAATTTCAATTTTTTAGCATTTATCTCAAATAAAATTTATGATATAATTTACAAATTTCAGAGGAGACAAAATACTGATGCAATATTTAAAAATAATTTACTATAATTTTTTGATGTTTTTATTAAAGACAAATACAAACTAATATTGAGAAATGCGATGTGTTAGACTCACATATTTATGCCTTTAATTATAAAGAATATATAATATTAAGACTTGCCTCCAAAAGGCAATATCGTAAAATCTATATCTTTCTTTTTAGAGCTGATGAATGTAGGTATTTCCTTGTTCAATAATTCATGCATGCTGACTCCATCACTGGCATAAACCCATTTGATACCGTTGACAAGATCATATCGTTTTGGCCCGCTAAAAATGGTTAAAAACAAATTACCAAATTAAAATACCCATTTCTTAATTTTACAAAAAAAGTAGCGCACTATTAGCTATCCACTTTAAATATTTATATTCCATATATAATTAGCCTTTCAAATTTAAACATGTAAAAATATAATTAAAAAAATGTTTACATTATTTGTTTTAGTATTCTAATAATGAAATAATCATCATTATACCTAGTGTTGTTAAACGGCTCCTTTTGAGACGATTTTTAAAAACGGATAACTCAATATTTTTGTCAGGAAAATATTGCCTAAGCTATAAGATTTCATAAACAAAATCTTCAGGCTTGCGTAATATTATTTTAGATGAAATATTGACACTAATTATATATAACAAGTGATGATGCAATCAGATTGATAAATTCGGAGTTATCAAACAAGGAAATTTGCCGAACTGTATAAATGATAAAATTAATTATGATCAGATAATTTTTGATAAACATCTGGTCGGATGTTGTACGAATCAAATTAAATGGATGTCGCCCCTTCTAGTCCACCAAAATTATCGATATATTTTTCAATAATTAGAATTTTAGGTGCGGACATTCTAAATTTAAAACATTAAATTTATGAATAATATCTTTACATCAAAACTCCTTGATTTATTTATATATTGTCCTTGGCTTATATTAAGTTAAAAATATTTTACAAATTTAAGCTAAAATTCCAGAATTCCTTTTCTTGTGTAATGTCAGTTATAGTTTGTCTTAAAATTCACTTCCACGTGTATCACTATTGGCAGCATTTTATATTTTTATTTACTTAATAAATTAGATTTATAAAGCAGGTTTCGAAATACAAATATAAAGATATAATGTTAATTTAAATTATAAATAAATTTTAGTATTTTTTATAGTACAATATATTATGTAAAATTTTTAAGTAGTGAAATAGTATACTACTTTGCTTCTCCCCAAAAAGGAGGCGTTATTATTGAGGCCTGCGAGGGATGCTCAAAGCCTGATCGGAGCCTGGGTTTGGAGTCTTTTTTTCTCGGGTTCGGGTCAGGTTGTAATAGGTGTCCAACCCGATGCCCAATAAATAAATATTAATAATATAAATCAGGGATATGGAACGGAACTTTGAGTAAATTTATATTTTGAAAGTTTCTAAATTTCTTATTTTTATAATTAAAAAAATAAAAATTTTTAATCAATCAAGTGCATATATTAAGTTATTTTATTTTCTTTTATAATAATTAGGGGTGTACCGATACCACTTTTAGGAGACCGATCCGTCCGATATTAAATAGATCCGATATCATATCTAATTTTGTATTCTGTAAAGATCAATGGTTTTAATTTAATATACTTTTTATTAATATAACATCTATAATTTAACTCTATCATAACTTATGTCATTTGAATATATTATAATAATCATCAGTTATATTTTATATTAAAATTGCAATTCTAAAAGTATATAAAATATTTTTACTGTTAATTCACTTTTATATGCATTATTCTATATAATATAAACAAATATATTATGAAGTTTAAAATAAATAATTAAAATAATATTTAACATTAATATATCGAAGATTTCTTTTTAGAAATTCCAAAATTTTCAATTTATCAGATGTCAGCCTGAGGCGATGGTAACTGTCAATATCACCAGCTTCACTAAAAAGAGATTATTTCATACTTTTTTAAACAGAATGGGCAAAAAAAATAACAATATGATAGAATGTTTATTAATTAATTTTTATTATTAAAAAAATAAACAATGGATTTCGATTTTATTTATAAAAATAAATGATTTTAAATATTTTAAAAAAATTTATAACATTTAATTTTTGTTAAAGACGCCATTTTTATCGGATCCGATATAAAAATTTTATATTATTGGCCGATAACTGATATTTTTAAATAAGTGAAATATCGACCCGATCCGATATAAAATATCGGTATTCCCTAATAATAATAAATAATTATAAATCATATTAAACTATACAATATTAGAAAAGTAATAACAATAACCATACAAGTAGTAAATTAAAAAAAATAGAGGGGAAACATTTTTATCAAATTAAAAAAATTTATTTAACTGTTTTTTTATATAAAATTAATTTTTTTTTATTAAATAAAATTTTAAATTAATAAAAAAAATTTCTAGAAGACTGGAAATCCAATAAAATCGTGTTAGTAATATCATGTATCCAGGTAAGTGTTTAAGGTTGTTTTTTGACACTCAAATCTATACTAACACCAAAAAAACCAATATAAATGATAGTCTTTTGGAAAATATATTTGTTTGATGCAATATTTGATTCATTTAATGATTAAATAAAGACTAATTAAAATGTGAAGATTTAAAAAAAATGTAATTTTATATTTTTCTAGAAACATTCCAAAAGCTGGAATGTAACAATTTTTTGGGCTGGAACAAGAAAACAAAAATGTCCTTGTTTTGGGTCCCTGATACAAATATCTTCAATAATAATTTTGCTATAAAAACGTCAATCAAAATAACTGATATTGATATGTCTTTTTAACATGTTCAATATTATATTTTTTAGAAATTTTCTCTCTATATAAATAATTATATCCTTTTTAACATCAATAATGCAATTTATTTTTATGTAATTACAATAATTTTTAAATTCCATTTTATTTTAACATTAATTTTTATATTTAAACTGAATAAAATTTATATGTATACATATAAATAAAATGAAACCTTAGAATTTTATTTATGGTAGCAATATGTGAATAAATACACATAATTTCTAACTGTTTCTTAGATATTATAATATTTAAACTTAAATTATAAAAAAATATTTAGTAAGGCAGTTGGGTTGGACCAAATGTTTGCTTGGGTTCAGACAAATTTTTTTTAAAATATGGGCTTGGGCTACTATTTATTTTTAGAAAATAGCCCAATATTAGCAATCATTATTAAAAATAGTAGTGTATTACTTTAACAAATCTGGTGCTGACTAATATTGTAACCGTTTTTTGACTTACATTGTGAAACTATGTATTTAATATCAAATATTTATTTTAAACCATTTTTATATATAAACACATATGCTGAATTCTATTATAAACTAACCAATTTTAATCTGACCTTATTGGGCAACATTTTACAAGAAAATTACTCCCCAACTTTGTTTACTATTAAATATATTAGTGCCTAAAAACATAAAATTTTGAAAACCGCATTGAAAAAGAATATTGGTTTATTGCAAAAAGAGATTTATTTAGTCAAACTTTCTAATTATTCGAATAAATAAAAACCCAATTATTTATAAATTAAAAAAGGAAGAAATGAGTTAAAATGTTAAAATTTTTGACCCAATTATTTATAGTTAAATAATTTAACAAAAAATTTATATTTATAATTTTGTCTAACCTGTAAAAGTTATTTTGAAAAATCAAAAAATATAAAGGTATTATAAACCTAATAGGAGATGATAGCCATATTTGTCTGTTTGGAGCCTGTTTATTTATTACATATATTCCTTGTTTTTGTGGTAAATTAATGGTCAAAACACCATCCTATATTTAAATGGTTTAAAAACACTTAGTTAATTTGCTTTACACTATAAGTGACATCATAATTTGAATCGCAATGTTCTTCAAAAGATTCAAAATATTCTGCTAATGCTAACAATGTCTCTTCACTAATTGATGGATAATTAAATCTATATAAAAATAGAATTTAAAAAAATATAAGTTTTAACTCTTCCTTGTTCTTTTGATTTGAATTACACTTAAATTTATAGTTTTGTAAATTCTTATGAGTTCGGTCATCACAATTTGAATTTCCATTTTTATATTCATATGAGTATTTGTGATAAATTTGAAGTGAATAAGATGGTTCCATAAACATAATATGTGACAATTGGGGCAAATTTTTAATGAAATATTGTAAATTTAAATGTTTAATGTGTTTTAACATGATAAAACCAGACATAATTACTGTTATTGATTTTGACTAAGAATTTTTATGATTTTGAATTTCTCCTGTATATAATTATTGATGATAATTAATTATTCATTACTTTTTAGAATAGGTAAAATATCTTGCTTTTGTTTTTTAACAAAAATATTCAAAAAGGGCAAGTTATAGTATATATCCTTTATTTATAATTAAATATAAGAAAATTAATATAAATACTACATTTCTATCTTCCTTCAAACTTTCGAGTTCTGATTCTAATATTTTTAATTCACTGGCCTATAAATAATTAATACTAATAAATTGCTTTTTTTATAAACCGTGTATTTCGTAAATAATTCAGAATTTTTTTGCATATGGTTTGTCGATAAAAAGCCGTAAAATATTTGTCCAGTTTTATTATTGGTCAGTCTAATATAATTGCTAAAAGCAGAAAGAATCTCATTGAACTAAAAATAGTAATACTGTAATTTAGCGATATGTTATATTATTTAAATTATATCAGCATGTGATTAGAGCTCTAAGCCCTATAGTGTTGATAAGCAGCACAGCTACGCTAGCTTTTGCTCATAACCCATAAAACTGAATATTTAATTTAGGGGAAAAAAATGAGGAACCCTTCCCACATTTGTGGGCAGGCTGCATGTACGCACGACAGTCTAAGAACTAGACGTCGATAACATAAGAGAAAAAGAGTTTGGTAAAACAACAGCCTATACCAGAGGTGTCCTAGCCTTTAAATTCGCAGGGGGCTTCAAAAATTTATTATTTTTCATTACGATTTTTATAGCTAACATTATCTAAAATTACCTTTTTGTAGCTAACATTATCCTAAACTACCCCCTTTTTTAGTGGTATAAAACAAATTCAAAATTTTGAGGAGGCTCTTCAATTTTTCAGAGGGCTCGAGCCCCTACGTTTCCTTTCTAGTGACATAACAATTCATAGTAAAAATATAATTTATAGTATTGATCTAACAATTAAAATAGCACTCATTTTATAAAATTATATATAATCTTATTAATTTTTTTGAAATAATATCAAATCTATATCTAATATACATAATAGAACTATCTGAAATTTTTATTTCGTTCAGGGGGCTATTCAAATTTTTGAAAGGGGCTTGAGCCCCTGTATGCACGCTTTTAGCGCTACTGGCCTATACCCAAGAACTTCAGTATAATTTAAATACTTAAAGGGTGGGAGAGGCGATTTTAAATTTAAATTCCTTTGTCTAAGTCTTAAATGGTTGAGAAATAAGATATTCCATTTAAATATTCTAGTTCAATTAATATGGCTGAAAAATTTTGGCTGCATAAAATTTATAAAATCTATTGATTAATATGACGAGAAAGCCAAATGAAATGGATAACAAGATATTAACTAACAAGAAAATAGCGACTTTAATTGCTAATGTTGATACACGATAACAACTTTATGTGGTGGGGGGACGGTTGATTTGAATTTCAAACGTCTATGTTTAATACATAAGTTCTATTCGTGATGTTAGTATTTTGAATAAATTTAAAGTTTTTAAGTCATGTTGATTATCTAAAATATATATGATTCAGAGTTGTTAAAAGATCGAATCAAAAGATCGACGATCCTGGATTCGATCGCAAATTTGTCAATTTTACGAGATTTATGATTCTGACTTAAATTGAGGATCGAGATCATTTTGTTTAAAATTCGATCCCGATCTTTTTAAAAATTAATTTTTTACTTAAAAGGCAATAAATAAAATAAAAATGTTGAAAATTAAATTAAAATATTATTTTTAAAAAAAATATCTATCTTCATATTTTATCAACTTCCATTCCACTATTTATTTTATAGATATATTTATTCATTTCCTAAATTTTACGAGATTTAGAGCTCTTACGTTTAATATAAAGTTATAATAATATATTAATATTTATTTTAATAGGTAAATGTAAATGTCCATTATAGATTTAGATTCTATTGCTTCTACTGTTGATGTAACAGCAGATATAAGTGAGAATGAGAATCTTTTACCATTTTTGAAATTACGTAAGTATTTTACTTTATGTGAAATGGATGAAAGCAACTCTTATAATATGATCAGCACCAAATGCCGTCTCTGTAAGAAGATAATATCATCTTCCAAAATATCATCCTCGACATTTACAAGTAATTCTTTTAAAAATTTTTTATTTGATAATCTTAATGTCAACATGTTTAAATTTAATTTATTACATTCCTGAGTTGAGCAGGTCCTACAGAAAATCTAGATACAGATTCTTTATAAAAAAAATGAATTATTAGATACAGTATAATTAATAAAATATTTGATGAAGAGTTAATCTTGGTTTTGTTATTTATGTATAATAATTAAGCATTTATTTTTTAATATTACTATTATATTAGTTTAATTTTAAAAAGAAGAGTATTTATAATAAATGGAAGTGTAATAACTAATAATTAAGCCTTTATAATGCATTTTGACTTTCTTTAATATAATTAAAACATCCAGTTCAATGTTATTTGTATTGAACTTAGCAATGTTTCACCAAAAGAAAAATAAATATCTATTCTATTATTTCTTAATTATAATATGTTAAATCTAATCAATTAGTATTATAGTTTCAGTTTGAGTTTGATTATATAATCCTCTTGACAACATTTTTAGGGCTTTTTTTAATAATATATTTTGAATTGAAAGTATTTTTTGTATCATTTGACTCAATCCATAAGTTCTTAAATGCCAAAAAGCCTCATTATATTCATAATAGGAAAATACTTTATCAAAATCTTTGGCCCATATCATCTTGGGCAACTTTTAATAATGATAGACAATATTGTAAACTTAAATTTTTAAGATAACCTACCCCCTTTTAACCACTAATAAAACATACTTTAATATGTTTAACAAAATTTGTCGAACCCTTAATCCATAGTTCTTAAATGCCAAAAAGGCTAATTATATTCATATATAGGAAAATATTTTATCAAAATCCTTAGCCCATATCATCTTGGGCAACTTTTAATAATGATAGATAGACAAAGACAAAATTGTAAATTTAAAATTTAAAATAACCTATATGAACCTTTTTTAACCATATATAAATTAAATAATATACTTTAATATGTTTAACAAAATTTGTGTTGAACCCTTTATCATTTTTTTGTTTATATAGGTTTTACATTCAGCCTGTACATTGTTTTTTTTAACTTTAAATTTCCATATAAAATTTTAAAAATGAAATTTGATTCAGGAGAAGTTATTTTCATCCAACTTTGATACATACTATTTTTTTCTTTTATAAAGAAAAAGCACAGTGAATTTAAAAATGAGATTACCAAACACCTCAACGAATTCTCTACCCAAAAAAATATATCACTGCAAAACCAAAGTGGTTCTGGTTGCAAATCCAGACAATCTAAATTAAATTTTAACAATCTAAACATTCCAGCTGTATCGCAAAAAACAGCAGACAAGGTTATCATGGATTTTATTATTGACACCTTCCAACCACTGTCTCTGGTTGATGATCCTTCATTTGAAAATATGATTAAAACTTTTTCTCCTGCGACAAAAATTATTTGTCGCCAAACACTGGGCAATAGGATATCTACTTCCTTCTCTTATATGACGACAAATCTTATAAGAGATTTGTCTAAAGTTTCTTATGTATGCACCACTGCTGATTGTTGGAGTGGTCATCGAAGGTATATTATATTTATATGAATTTTATAATGTTTATTTTATTAGGGCTTTTATTGGACTTACTACACATTGGCTGGATCCGTTAACCCTCAAGAGAAGGTCAGCCGCTTTGGCACTGAGGAGGATAATTGGGAGGCAAACATATGATGTTTTGGCCAACGAAATCATGGGTATCCACAAGTTCTATAAAATTCATAATAAGGTGGTGAAGAAGGTGACTGACAATGGAACCAACTTTGTCAAGGCATTTAAGTAATATTTATATTTAGCAAAAAATATTTAAATAAATTTATTTTTTCTAGAGTTTTTGGAGAAAATGAAGAAGATAGTAGTGAGGATAAGGAATTGATAAATTTGGATGACATGTTATCTATCCGTTGATGACCCAATTATTCCTACTATCAGCCTACCAAAACATCAACGTTGTTGTTGCCATAATCTTAACATTATTGAACAGATGCGGAGATGGCAGATAGTGATCTCAATTATAAACGAATATCTAGATCCACTTTTGCAAAATGTTTTGCTTTAGTTAATAAACAAAATATGAACGAAATTTAGCTGCCTGCGGTATTGTCAGCCCCTTGTAGATAGTGTTCTTAGAGGTATTGATAAAAGGTAATATTTTTTTATGCAATTATTTTATATTATCAGATATCTGCAATATTAAAAAATTGCAAAGATCTGGCAAATTTAGTAAAATATTTTTAACGGCCAGTTCTATAACTCTGATATCTAGTAAAATATTAATGGGCCTTTGAAGACATTAAGAACTTATTAGATTATTTGAATTTTAAGCTAATATTTTGATTAATATTCTTTGTAAATAAATTACAATGTTAATTTCTTTGTATATTAAGTATTAAGTTTACATTTAATCAATATTTATGATATGACCCAAATATAAATAAATACCATACAGATGATGTGCCAGACTTGACTGTAAAATTTAAAAGGGTTAAGTTTTGCAGATACTTGATTTGATTTATATGAATAAATTGAACACTTATTTAATAATAAATTAATTATCATTTCATAATATAGATTTCCTTCACTGTATGAAGACAGTAACATTTTGGCAGCCATGATTCACCCTAAATTTAAACTTAATTGGCCTTATATTAATCTGCCACAAAATATGATGGTAAAAGAAAGATTAATTGCCCATTTGGAAAATATGCAGGAACAACCATATGCGTACCTCATATGAATGTATGGATGACATTGATACTTTTTTGGGGAAAAATACTGTACAAAATGCTTGTTCCGTTAAAAATAATTTTTATTCAAATGATGATTCCATGAATATTTTTAATATTTATATTAATTTTAAAAAAATATTTATTGAATATAATACACCTCTGCCATCAACCTGTGGGTTTAGTAAAGCTAAACATGTTCTAAATGAAAGACGCGGATGTTTAAATGATGATAATTTAGAAAAAATTTTATTATTAAAAGCTAATTTTAATTATAAATAAATATATTATAATTGTTATATTTATTATTCAATTACAATAAATTTCTACCATATTTAATTTATTTTTATATTAGTTAATTTTGCATCGGTTATATTATATTATTATTCAATTAAAATAAATTTATAACATTTATTAGTTAATTTTGCATCGGTCAGAAATTTCCTTCAGAAATTTAAATAGAAAAAAGGTCGATCCTGGATTTCGATCC